TATATATATATATATATATATATATATGTGTGTGTATATAACAGATTAAAGTAGACTACCGTAGGAAATACCGTTTCTCAACTGAAACGGGTAAAGGCACTTTAATTGGAGAAATGGTGGTCAGTATCTCGCCACGCCTCACACTCCTCTCTTTTCCTTCTTTTCTCTGTTGCGCGTTTGGTGTAAAAATAACAGATGTAAGCGACAAACCATAATCCTCTGGGCGCCTTTCATTCTAAATAAAGTTAAAGGTGAACAACCTATAATATTTAATGTATAATAAAGGTACACGTCAAGAATATATAATTTATAATTTCATCATAGACATTGAATCATTTACTTAAAATCAATATAAAAAGAAAGAGAGAGGAAGAAGATTAAGATTGTGAAAAATGACACAGAGCTGCATATACATGGAACTCCTTTCAGCGATGAATTAGGTAAAAATAACCATGTATACACATTTCATAATCTTCATAACTTGCTCACAGTAAGTGATTTACAAATTAAAAATGCGATAACATGGAAATAATATAAGCGATGCTTTTCAACGATCATTCCAGTAATCGTTCTCTTATCATCGAGGTGTGGTAAGCAGTCGCGTACAAGACAATTTGATTCCGATATCTCGACGATTTGAAATCAAACTTAGAGTACTACTGACTCTGTCGTAAGGAACAAACATAAGCAACATCCGCCCGATTCCGTGAGATAAAGACATCAACAGACAGGAAAGGAAAAAAATGGCAGATGAGAAAATTGTGTCAGACGAGCGATTGTACGATTACTTGCGTACATACGCAAAAAGCATCAAGTTATTGGCTCCAAAATTTCACATAACTGAGGGCACCAATAAAGGCGATAATTACGTTAGCCTCGTCTGTCGCGTCACGATCGAGGGCATCGCTGAAGATGGCGAAGACAAGAAAATTCAACTTATTCTCAAAACTACACGAACTTTGGATACCAGTGAAATTCTATCTAGCAGCAACGTCACAAATATGTTTCAACGCGAGATGTTCTTTTATAAAGAAGTATTGCCCATTTTCAAAGAGACTTTGAAGGACCGCGGCGGGATTATCGATCGCTTCCCTATTTTATACAACGTGAGCGATGAATCCGGAAAAGAGGTAATTTGCGGTTTACCACTTCTAAACGTGAACCATGCCAATGAAGTAATAACATTACATACATAGCCGAGTATCATGTAATCATGTATATATGTAAATTCCATACGACGCCTTTACATAATCTCTTTTCTTGCGCGAAATAGCACATACATACATACATACATACATACATAATGTAGAGGCCATAAGAAAGATATATATATAACGTTCGACAATCAAGTCTTTAAGGAAGTTAAATACTTTACATAATTTAATTAAAAACGATATTGTATTACGCGTATGTAAAATTTCAAACGCTATTTCATTGTTTACTTGTGATATTATTTCTTTTATTTCGACTATAAAGCTGCTTGACTCTTATTCTTTGCACGTCGTTCTCAAGACAATGCATTTCACGATGCGTTGCTAAATTAGCCCCACAAGATTTGTACATGTAATAAAACGCAGACATCATGTCGCGAAGTGAAATGTCGATTTATAATGACACATGGATACACGGACACGCATATATATGTGCGCCGGGCATAATAAACTGGTTTAAGATTACCAAGTAAGACATAAGGTCCGGTTAACCTTTGCATTATGCAATATTTTCGCTAATAGTCAATCTGTATTTAAGAGTTAATGCGAAAGAATCTCTCATATTTTGACGCGGTTCCATTTTATTGGTGAAATTATTAATTTTGGAGTTTAATTAATTCGTGAAATTCGTCGAAGCATCTCGGAAAGCGTTCCTTTAAATCCTCACAACCCTCCGATCATTTGTTCGAAAGTTATCGCTATTTATATAAGAAAACGGCCAACAAATCGCAACGGTATAAATAATGTTATATCTTCCGCAATTTTTAAAGTCTTTTCCCGTTTATATTTAACACTAGGAGCCGATGAAATCAATGTTAGGCATGCGGTAGGAGTATAGAGTAAGTGTCTGATAATTAGATGGCTCGCGAAAGTACACGTACATACACTTCTTTATAAAGACTTGATTCTTTAATACGTAACTTCCATACGTAATATATCTCTGACATTTTAATGGAAGAATTGCACATGGCGGAAAAAATATAAATTAAAATATAATTATCTTCTAATAAGTATCCTTATCTTATCTCATCTTGCACAATATGTAACTTCAGTATTTTATTTAATAAGATATCTTAATTTATATACATATATAACGATAAGGTCTCAGAGAAAAAAAACTATTTTGTAATTTGTATTGCAATTTGCTGCTGCTTTTTTGGTAAGGAATTTATTTGTATCATGTATATGCACACATAAAGAGGCAAAGCATTCGAATCTTATTCATCAATGTAAACAACCATGAATATCCACTCCTAAGACGACGTGACTCGATAACATTATGCGATTATCATCCTCAGCTATCTCATAATATGATAAACTTTCACGTATTTCTCATATAGCGCGATTACCGAGATTAGATTTGTATCTTTTCTAAAGAATACTCTAAAGCGATAAAGAGATAAACGCTTGGATAATGAATAAATATACGTAATTTATCGTAGATACTGATGTTAGAAAATTTAGCGCCTCAAGGTTTTGTGATGGCCAAGTCAAAAATTTTGGATTATCCTCATCTCAGCTTGGCATTACGATGCTTAGGTGAATTTCACGCATACAGCTTCATTACGCGTGTTACGAATCCAACGAACTTCGAAAAATTAAAGATGAAAGAACACTTGTTTAATAAACGATTAGTTGATAATATTGATGATAAGGAGAAGGATCTTTCAAAAATGCTTATTGAGCTCGTTTTCAAGGTATTCGCATTTTGAATCTCAAAGATCATTGATATTCATCGAATTTAATTTTTTTTTCTTTTTGGTATCACGTACTAGGCTTTAGCGAATGAAGATAAACATTATTCCGAAAGATACCAACGATTCGTAGAAAATATGATGCAAAACATGTTCGATGCAGTTGATGGAAAAGCTGCTGAGCCATATACCGTTGTAAATCATGGTGACTCTTGGACTAACAACATGCTCTTCAAATACGACGAAGTATGTACACGCAATTGAATAACCCTTGATGATATATACGTCGTAGCAGCTTAAGATTTGCGTTAAATTAATATATCTAAATACACGACATCTTAAACGTCATTTCATTTTAGGAGAACATTCCGTACGACTTGCGTTTTATAGATCTTCAGCTATGTCGTTACGCATCTCCTGTCTTAGATCTACTTTATATACTTTTCTGCTGCTGCACGCAAGAAACACGAAATGAATATTTCGATCAAGTAATATACGAATATCACGAAACATTATCCAGGTATATCGAAAGAGCCGGTTATGATCCTAATATCCTTTTTCCTTACGAAATATTATCTAAACATCTTACTAAATTTGGAAAATACGCAGCAGGAATGGCTACTTACACTATACATATATTTACCAGTAATGATGTAGAAATAAAAAATGCATATGACAGTGATATACTTCGAGAAAGAATAGAAAATGATAGCTTTTATAGAAATATGTTAATAGGTACTTTTAAAGATCTCGTCGACAGAAATTATATATAAAGTAATACTTTCATAATATTAATATTGCGAATGCCAAAGGAAAATCTTGGAGTCAAAAGTAAAATATTATATGTATTAAACTTAGAAATCAGTGTAGCTGTACTACTACAAGTACAAACCTATTTTATTTTATTAGGTTAGAGGAATTTCATTAGTAATAACTTATTTACGTATGAAAATTGTGTATATATAGTATAAATTGTGTATATTGAGTGTTTGAATAAATTTACTCCGGTTTTTTGTGAAATTTTGTTTTTAAACAGTTGATTAATCAACATTTAATGCCTCTAATTTTTTTAGCATTTGATATGGATATTTTCATATAATGATGAAATTTCAAATAATCCATTTCATTTTTCAATTTTGTAATGCATCTTCATGTTATTTATTTTTATCGAAATTAAAGCTTCTAAAGCGTTGAAACTACTTTCAGATGAAGAATGCTCCCTGTATATCTCCACAAGCAAATGATAATTTTCAACTGCAGTTTTCTTAATAAAGCAATGCAGTAAAACTTCCCGCAAATATTATTTTGTTGGCACAAAAGTTGTTTTCAATGCAATGACAAAAATGTTAATTTACATGTCCATCAAATGTCATATATTAAATATGAAAGCTTATGTATAGTACTCTCAAATAAAACAGTTGCCACTAAAAGAATTCTATTCACGTAGTACTCGTGACGTCTCTTAGAAAACGAGGGAAACTTATTCAAACACCTAATATTTAACTTTTTTTGACATTTCTGATATGCTACTTAAAATATCAAACATAGGTATTGCAGTGATTTTTAATAAACCAAAATTTATTTAAAATCCTCATAAGAGAGATATTTATAAAAAAATATTTTAAATAATTTTTTTCTGCAAAAATTGTTATTTTACAAAGAATTTGCCGAAAGATAATACAATTTAGCGATGCTCTTTTACGTTAAAGTACAAAAAATAGTATAAAATAGAAAGAGTGCACAAATAGTACAAAGAATGTACAAATAGTATATACAAATAATGAACAAAATAAAATTTTTGCTCATATATATTTTTTCATAATTTGAACGTATTCAAACTTTAATACTAATTTTTATACTAATTTTTATAAATAATTTTACTCAGAAAGAAATGGAAATTGTGTATAAGAGATATATTTTAAAATGAAATATACAATTTCAAATATACAAAATAAAGGCATCTACTACATTGTTCAGTAATAAAAGGAATACTAGTTTAGTGACAATGTATTTTAGCTCTTAGTAATAAGGTCTTCTTGGATTATTCTGAAAAGGAAAATGTAATAATTAAAATGAGCTATTAGATATTTTACTTAACATTTTTATTTTTTATTATAAAAATCACGATACTTACTAATGGATTAGGCCTAAATCTATACGCGAGCATCATCCGTTTTCTATATGCATCAAATTCATCATCATCTCTAGATACTCCATCTGGTCGTTCAGATCCTAGACCAGCACTATCAAGTCTATTTGTCGCTCTAGAAACATTGATTATAACAACTTGAAAATATTAGACAAACATATTCGACATGAAAAAAATAATATAAAAGGCATTACTTGTTAATTGGTTCAATACGACCGCTACCCTCACTGCCCAACCCTTGTCCTTCGCTCCATCCCAGTTTTTGTAACATCTGAAATCCTATAAAGTAAAAAAAAACTTATGAAATTCAATTGAAATTAACTAAAATAATTTTTAACAAATTTAAAATATTCAGATTCATAATTTAAAAAATTCAGAAATTATTTTTGTTAGCATTTGACTTGAAATATATCTGTCAATTTAATAAATAGTAAATTTAATAAATAGTTAAGTTCTCAATATGATATAACCAAATTTAACTATTTATTTGTTACATAAGTTTATGTAACAAAACAACGTCGTTGTATTTATTGTATAAATATAATATTGATCGAGAAAAAACAAGAAAAAACTTTTTTGGAACCTACCTATATTATCTTCCTTTAATTTGTATTCTTTATAGTCGCTCAAGTCTGGTTCTTTGCCTTGCTTTACAGCATTATATTGCTCCATAAATTTTTTTAATTCATCCGGTGGTAGAAAATCGCCAATATGATGTTTGCCTTCGGCTTGCGCAGTTAATTCCTCGGCCCACATCTGTGTCGCTTCCATTTCAGCGGACCTCAATTTGTGTTCCCAAGTTCCTCCTTCTGTTTCTTCGTCGCTATCGTACTCATATTTATGTTTTCCTTGTGCTTCCAAACGTTTCACTTCTTCTCTTTTCCTTAAGAGATTTTGATATAAAAGATTTATCTAAAAAAAATTATTTATATCTTTTTATGCACAAAATTATTAATCCTTAAAATTCATTTTTATATATTTTTATGTACATATATAATCAGATAAAGAGAACAAATTTTAATATACTTTGTGTGTATATCTTTTATAATTGATACAACAATCTACCTTATAATGATCCTCTGCCTTTTTCCATTGTTCTTCGCTTAAATCGAGTGTGCCAAATGTCTGTCTCGCATAATGGATAAGTGCAGGATCATTACGTGAAATCTTGGTAAGCATTGGATTTTTTGATTTAACATGTTGTCTCTTTGATGGAGAAGGTATTATGACTGCAGGTTGTCCAATTTGTCCCGGTATAGCTATGCCAGGTTGTGGAAGTACAGCACCTGATCTATTACCAGAAGGAACATTTGTTTCTGCAACAAGAATCTTATTGTCTGCATCACCCCAGCGACTACGTTTTCTTCTTTTCCGTTCTTCCTTATTATCGTCCTTTAACTGATCTGCTAATAATGACATATATAAAACATGTATTAATAAAACTTGTGCTAATGACTAAATGTCATTATGTATGTATACATGTAGTTATTCACCATGTGAAGTTGAATGAGATTTCTGAGATTTATCCTCATCATTGTCACTAAGAGCTTCTTCAGGACAATAAAGTTCTGCACCACTGTTCTTCTTATCCTTATCTGGCTTCTCCGCACGTAATTTTGAAACCAATCCCCTGTACTGCAGATACGCTGCACTTTGCTTTTGGTGCAGAAACCTTGATTAAAATGATACTTAAAACGCTGTCTAGTAATATGTATTCCTATAGATACAATACTTTCATAGAAAAAATATAATGTCAATAAAAAGTAAAAAGTAGCAGAAGAAAAGTTTAAAATATTATTTGGATTGAGGAAATTGGAGGCATTGATATTATAGTATATATATATAGGCATAGTATATATATATATATATATATATATATATATATATCTAGCATTTGAAAATATACGCAACATATAAACATCAAAAACAAGAAACAGCGTAAGTTTAAAAGAATATACAGTTATGCTTCAAAAGATACGATTATAACTTGAAAATTGTAAAATGAAATTTTGAAATAATAGATATCTTTGTCTTTAATTAATATAAAAATTAAATATAAAATCTTAGAATTAAAGCATAGATTACATTAGTGGTTATTCTTAGCATATATATTGAATAGGTATAGATATTGGAATATTCATTAAATATAAAAATGTTTTATAAATATATCTAAATGGAATATTTTCTTATTAGTTAAACAATCATATTTTTTTTACATTAAAAACAACATAATCAAAAACTTGAATTTTGAGAATAAACATGTTTAAAACTAAACAATAAAAGAATACAACACAAAGTAAACTTTGCAGAAAAATGTATACAGAAAAATTCATTTAGAAGATAATTCCGTATTTTGCCTTAAGCTTTTTCATATACCATATCTTTTGTAACATTTTCTATAATCTCATATAAATTCTTAATTTCTTTCATGTGAAAAATAATTATATTAATAATAGAACATTTTAAAGTCTACAAGAGAAACAATTTTTTTTTTATGCTAAAAGAATTATGGGTTATCAAATATATATGATGCCATTATTGTGATTGTAAGAAAAAATATGTTCAATGTGAGAATACATTCATTATTAACAATTTTGTCAAACGAAAAAATAGTTTTCTTCATAAAAATATAATAAACATGTAGGTAAATTTATGTAATTAGCAATTTTTTTGCGATACAATTGATATTTAGAAATGCAAGCACACTTGCAAGAATTCACATTAAGCGGACATTCAACAAAATTGTACATTCAATTTTTCATGTTACTAAGATGTCAAGAACTACGTGATAGAGATTTGTACAATGTCCTATAATACAAAATAAAATATTATCGTCCTAGATATTATAAAAGTATTAATTATATTACAAACAAGGAACAAGGAAATGGGAATACAAAACGAGGACCAGTGAGGACAGTAGTTACCATAATTTAGGATCTTGGGCATTCTTCTCTCGTACTTCTTGTTCTATCTCATCCCCACAGTCAGCCACGATTCGTGCCAGCTGCTCAGCCTCTACTAAACACACTTAGAATCCTTTGTCAGCTACTTTGTATAATAATGTTTCAAATATTTGTCTATCTATGCGTATGTGTATACAATATAAAGAATATTGTATATATTATTTCTATTTTATTATTTTTTATATCTTCTAACAATTTATCTTCCTAGTTTCCCACAATATTATTAAAATTGTGAGGAAACAATGTGTCTAGTGCTTAAAGATAACATTATACAATTGTGCGACACAAAAGAAACATATTTCCTAACTGTAATATCATACCTTGTTGTTCGGAATTTTGTAGATTAGCCGGTGGTCTCACAGGTGGTGGTATTTGTACGTTAGGAGGGCCCACCGAAATAGGTACCTGATTGGAAAGAGCATAGCCGCTGGACATGAGACTACGTGATGGTGCTGCATTAGGAATAACATTAGGTGGCGGGATGTTTGGCGGAGGGATATTCAAGTTTGGTGGTGGAACCGAATTGATTGTTGATGGGACGGTATGCACTGGCGGAGGTGCTGACATTATCATAGATGTTATCACATTTGGAGGTGGAACATTAGCTACGTTTGGTACCGTTACTACAATAGTTTGTGAGCCTGTAATAGGCATCATGGTCGGTGGCATTTGAGACATTGGTGGTAAAATGTTCGGAGGTGGTATGTTAGGCGGAGGAATATTTGGAGGTTGTAAATTAGCATTACACGCTGGCGGTGGTACACTGCATTGTTGTGGATTCTGTATAATATGCTGTTGTGCGTTTGATGGCGAGGACAAATTGGGCATTGGTATAGCTTGAGACATTTGCATATTTGGCGGTGGAACATTTGTATTCGGTGGAATGCTCTGAATAGGAGGAGGTGG